CTATCTATCTATCTATCTATCTATCTATCTATCTATCTATCTATCTACAGCATCTCTCTCTGTGTCTCTGTCTCCGTCTCTGGTCAAACTGGATTTCTTTCAGGGCCGAATCAGCATTATAGTTCTCCTCCGCAGGCTGGTGGGTGGGGAGGGAGGGGAGGGGAGTGTGTGTGTGTGGGGAGGGGGGGGACAGGATGGATGCCTCCTGCAGAACCCTACTGGTCAAAATGGGGAGCAGCATGGCTGCGCCCACCCCCGCGCCTCATTTTCAGCCTCCATGATCTCCTGCAGCACTCTCTCTCCTGAAAATGGCCTCCACGTGGCCTATTTTTGGAGGCTGGGGAGACCCAAAACGAGCCATGCAGGGGCCCCTGCGCGGCCTGTTTTTGGCCAGCAGAGGCACTGCGGGCCGGTCCTTTGACATTTCCAGGATGGCCCCACGGGCCACATTTAAGCACCCCACGGGCCAGATCTGGCCCCGGGGGCCTTGAGTTTGACACCCCTATCTCTCATCTATTTCTATATTTATCTCTCCCTCTCCCTCCTCTCTCTCTCTCTCTCTCCTATCTAAAGTTAGTGCTCTGGCTGATTCACAGAGTTGATCTGGTTCCTTGCACCTGATGCCATGCCAAGAACATTACCATTACAAGGGTTGAGGTCTTGAGCAACTCAAACAGATGAAGCCCCCTCCCTATTTTTCTTTCTGACTCACAGCTTCAGGGCCTTGCCGTTCAACTCTATCTATCTCACACCAAATGAGAAAAAAAATGCTATTGAACAACATTGTATAGTAAACAATATTTTTAAAGAATTGTAATATTTAAATGGTATATTATTATAATGCCATATATTGTAGAACATTGGTTTTTATATTCTTTTGACAAATACTACTGTATTTATTTTGGGAATTCTCTATTTTATTATTGTTTATTTACTGTATTGTATTTTGATTCCACTTTTCATTGTATAGTTACAAAATAATTCATTTCCTACTGAAAATAAATGCTATTGGTAGCATTGAGTGGGCCCTGTTCTGGGTTCTTCTGGTCTAGCAGGATTGTCTGCCTTCTGTTTGTTTGGATCTCCGGGACAAGAAGTCCTGTGGTTTTCAATCTTGGTTCTAGAGCTGCAAAAAATTCTGACTGATTAGCCTTATCTATGTTATTATTGAGGATTTTCTGAGCATATTGTGGTCTGCAGTAGCTAGTGGCAAGTTGGACATGTTGACTGCCATTTGGTTTCATTTGTCTCTTTGTTTCTGGAGTTTAGCTGGAGTAATTTGGTTTGGAATTTTGTTTCCCTTTTTTGTCTTAGAGATGTTTTCTTAAGGGAGGTTGTCAGCATTTTTGTGTTTATTGGGGTCATAGTTCGTTCCAGTTGCTCCTTGAGGTTGTCCATGGTGCATCACGTAAAACACAAACCAATTAAGTAAGAAGAAAAACCAGAAATCATCTCCAACATGTGAAGTAACACCCACTATGTAGGACAGACCAGCTGAGGTCATCCATGAACACCAACTAGCAACCAGAAGACACAATGAAAACTCCTTAATGTTTTAAAACACACGGACAGACACAACCATAGTTTCAGTTGGGAAACTGTGACCATCCTAGATCAAACCAAACCCCAAAATGCTAGGGAATTTCTGGAATTCAGACAAACCAGCCATGAATGACACATACAGATAAACTACATTTACATACCATTCACAAGAGACAATTAAAAAAAGGCTAAGGAAAGAAAAAGACCGGAACACATCCTCTCCAGCAGCCCACACCCAGAGAAGCAGGGATTAATGCCAAATAATCAAGTAGAAAATAATACCCTAAGCAAGGTACTACCAAGCGGAAGACCATGCCCCCAACACTAGAGTCCTCTCCTATGACCATCACTGAAACCAGAATTTCCACTGTTATTAAGCAAGGCAATTGTTAGGTAGTCACCATTTTATTACCTTTTTTGCCATGTTTGGTAAGTGAATCACCTGTACAGTTAAGCAAATTTGGCTTCCGCCACTGACACTGCTTATCAAAAGGGGACAGGGAAACCCACAGACGACAACCCTATGACACGGGGACACTGCAACCGTCACAAGGAGATGCCGTTTGCCAAACAGCCAAATTTTGATCACATGACCATGGGGATGCTGCACCGGTTGTGAGTGAGAAGACAAGTTGTTAGTCACTTTCCAGTGGCTTTGTAAATTCAAATAGTCGCTAAAGGAATGGCTGTAAGTTGAGAACTACCTGTATTGCATATAAATAGGGAGCAAAGTCCCATCCGCTGGCACTGACAACGTTAAAGATCAACGATGTCAGGTAATGAAACATCTGCAGGCGAAGAACTGAGGTCAGAGTGCACCAAGGACGCCACATTTCAATCCTGGGTTATGGAGATTCTGTTCTGTGGGTCTTATCCTGCAAATACAGAAATGAAGAAATTGTGTTTTTCACAGTGTTTCCTATGTGGAAAGATGATGATGTTCTATCTTTTTTTTTAAACAACAGTAATAATTAAATATTGATTTAATTTAATTCTTGGTACTTTATGTTTTCCTGTATTTAATTTACCTGCTAAGGATACACAATAGAGCTTGGAATCTCTTTACTCACTGATTCTCAAAGAACCATTTCTCTGGCACCTGGCCACTGCCTGACACTTGGCAAAAGATTGGGATTGGGAGGAGGATGACTGCCTTTCTGTGGAAAATGAGGCTCCATTAGGAGGTGGGGGGTGGGTGGCGGGAGAAACAATATAGTATAATACCGTATTAAGAGCAATTTTAAAGGAGACTTGGATTTGGTTGCTAAGAATTGCCTCTTGATAGCAAACAGTTATTGCTATATTTGATCAGCTTTTGGAAGCAAATAAATAAAAAGATTGAAGAATTAAGGCCTCTAAGGAGAAACTATATCTCTAATAATAAGGAAGTAAATAGCAAGGCCCTTGCTCCAAAATTTATTTTTAATTCATGGACAGCTCATATGGATTGGAGGCTACAAGATGGAGAAGACACAGAGGAAAGGCTAGTTCTACAGAGACATAGATTCTACTCAAAGTTGCTGATGTAGGGCCAGGTGGAGTAACAGAAGAGTAATACTGAACACTCTTTCCCAACTTTTGCACTGCAGGGTATATTCTAATTGTGATGTCTCCCGTGGGTGACTCCTCAGATTCCTCCTCAGAGGTCAGCTCAAGGGAAGATGAGCCCATTCCTGGCACGTCAGGAACTGAGATGATTAATGGCTCTAAATGGCTGGCTGAAAGAGAATTAGGGGAGGCTTCATCTGGGGAAAGCTTGCAGTGGCAGCCAGCCAGTGAAGAGGAGGCGGAACTACCTTCTGCACTGATCCAAAAACACACAGGACAGAGGAAAAGGCAGGAGCAACGGAGGTCAGCCAGATTACTCAGGAGGAGAAGGCCCCACCCATCTTGATGGGTTGCATCAGAAAGCTGGCTATCACAGCAGGCAGAGGGAGGTGTTGCTGGGATCAATGTTGCTTTTCTAGCTGTTTGTTTGCTTGTCGTGCTTTCTGCTGCACCGTGTTTGGAGTTGTGCCTCGGAGACTCTGAACTTTTCTTGCCAAGTGAGCTCTCATGTGTGTATTTAAGTTTTGCCTGGTGGATTTAAGTCTGTTTGGTGGAGTTATTTGTTTGAGCAACTTTCAATTGCTTTACTGAGTATAGGGCCATTGCTTTGTGGACTAATCTTGGCCTGCTTGTGGCTGGACTTACTTGAGATAGTTCTGAGTTTTGGTGAAGGGAATTGCTGGGGACCATTAATAAACTCACTAAACTACAGTTACGTGTGTATGTGTGTGTGTGAGAGAGAGAGTGGGGCAGCACACTAATGAACTAGCAGATTTCTTGGCTCCCCAGCAGACATGGTTGTAAAAGAATATTGTTAATCTTTGGGCAGATGGTTCTCCCTTCTATGTTATTCAGGCTTGAAACCTTTCTAAGAACATACTGTGTTTGGCCAATACGGGTGTTATACTACCCAAATCCAGCCTCTTCTAAAGTCTAGGCAGAGAGCCAGGACAGCGAGGAAGGCTGACTCCAACCTTGGAAATTCTAAAACATTAATGGCCAAAGAAAGAATCCCTCTGTTAACAAGGATAGAACAAGATAGGGATAGTAAAAAAGAGAACTCAGATCTACTTAACAGATAGTCACAATTTATGGATGACAAGGAAGAATTAACCCACCATTTGCCACCCTTCGCCCAGGAGATCAACAGCTGATTTTAAAAAAATCAGAATAATTAATTTAATATTGAAATTGGTAACTGGTTCAACAGAAAGTCTGAACGCTCTGTTCCTCTCTAGCTGCACTTCTGTGGAATTGTTATCAGGCTCAATTTCTGAAAGCCCCAAATCCCCAGCAAATAAAAAGAGAAGGCGTGTCAGCCCAAAGCAAAAATGTAAAGGAAAAGGATATGCAGCACAATATAACAGTAGAAGTCCAAATTAACCATCCAGTATGACAACTAGATAATGAGAAGGATGTTGGAGTCCTTCTTCATTAGAAGAAATGTCACTCAAATGAAAATCAGGGGAATCAAAATAAAGAGGAGCAACAATTACAACATGAGGAGGAACACCGAACTTTACAATAATTGTGTTCACACAGGAAGTATAGTGAAAATTGATCCAGCTCAAAAAACAAGTTGACATTCGGTCCCTTTATTCCCTAGACAACGAACCCAGTCAGAATATCTTGCTTTCAGGAGTCCTATACAAATTGTGACTTGGAACATAGCTGGCTGGAAAGAAATGGCTGATAGTGAGTTTCTTATCTAAATTTGATTCAATAGCCATTCAGGAAACCTGGCTAACTGAAGAGGATGAATTAGTACAACTCCTGGGCTTTCAGGAAAGAATCAAATTATTGTATTTTACTCCAATTTCATTTTGTTTATTAGTAATGTGTGTTTGGAACTCTGTATTTTTATATAGTCCATGGGCTAATCACTAAACTAAAC